GCTGCTGAGCTACAGGTGCCAAGCCATTAATAGTAAAATTTATCAGCCAATAGAAAGCAAAGAGCTCCTATAATCTCAGCATTGAAGTATTTTTATTGGCCAAAACTAGAATTTATGCAAAAGATGTAATTAGAAAGTATTCCTCTGTCCCTTCTGCCCATCCCCCTCAACCAAAAGTTCAGGTGCATCTTTCTCCCTCTTGAAAATGAAAATATAATTTTTCTTGGTGTCTGACTTTGTGCTAATAAGAATTTGGAGCCCATGGCCACTCTCTCAGATTTTTCCTCTGTAACTCTGAGTCAAATTTCAGTAATGATTTAGGGAGGTTCTTTGGGAACAGAAGTCACCCCTTGTGATAAACTAAGCTCTGGTCCAGATAATAGAACTAGGAAACAGCTAGAAAGGTCTGGGTTCTAATCCCAGCTCTAGTCCTTTCCCTGTGAATGTGAGCAAGTCAGGAAGCAAGTCATTCAGTCTTCCTGAGTCTCAGTCTCCTTGTTGGGAAAAGGATTTGTGACATAGGGATCATAATATCTGCTTCACTGGGTGACTGTGAAGCAATTCGTAAGGCAAAATGTGTATCTCTTCTAGACCAAGTCTTAGTAGCTCAGTAAGAACAAGTTTCCAAAAATCAAACATTAGCAATTGATTTTGAAAGAAAAATCAGCTTCATAACATTTACCATAGGGCAAAAGGGGATACTAAAGAAAAAAATAAAAGTTCTTCATGTTTAGACTCAGGTTGTAGAGTAGACCTTGTAGAACTGGAGTGGTTATTAAACTTGCAGGAAATCATTCATGAAATGAGATTTTTATACTGGATAACTACAGGAACAGGCATTAAACAGATGGGCAATTTCTAGAAAGGCTAAATGAAGGGTTGAACCATCCCACCTAATTCTCCGGAGAATCTATCATTTTCTCACATGAGAGAGCCACTTCAGAGGAAACTCAAATACATGGCTAAAGCTCACCCAGCTGGACTCTTTCCTCTGAGTCCACCAGAGGCAACAATCTATCCTCTCAAGAAAAGAATGTACTGGCTCTAAGGTTTAGGTGGGAGGAGGGGAAAGGAAAACGGGAGGAATGAAGAAGATCTCAAAATTAGAATTGTTAAAAAAAAAAGTAATTAAGAAAAAGCACACGTGAACACGAAAGGACACCTGTGGGTACACAGCGCGTGTGCTTCCTGAGTGTTGGACTTGGGAGGGTAAATGGAAACCCAGCTGAGTTCAGGAACTAGAGGGTGACGCAGTGAGCTCTAATGCCAACTGTAACTGTAGACTGGGGGTTCGGTATATATTGATTATGTAAGATGAGAGATGTTTACCAAATTTTGGGAAGAAGCTGACATGTCATGTGACAAGTTTTTAAAAGATATTAAATTTCCAATGTAGTAATGGTGTTTGTATAGTGAATTTCAAGAAGGCTTTTCTTCCGAGATACAGAGACACTGAGGAGTAACCCATGTATAATAATTTCTTGTCATACGATGGTGGTACATGGATAATGTCAGAGTTTAGTGCAGATTCTGAAATAAGCCAGAACTGAATGCCAGTTCGGTCAGCAGTCAGCATGGCTGCAATTGTAGGTCTGACCCCTGGGTTGGGTCATCTTGTTCTGTGGCCTCATGCTGCCTTCATCTGTCTTTGGCCACAGAGGAGCCAACTATTTATGAGTGTGGCGAGAACAGTGCAAATCCATCATCACTACAAGAAAATCAACCCAAAGCCTGTAGGTCAGTAGTGCCATCTACATACGTGGAGCATGGCAGTTTCCCATCATGTCGAGAGGAGAAGACCGGTAACTTCCACCAGACAGGACCGCTCCACAGATGGCTCCCACTCGGAGTTAGAGAGACTGACACGGCACATGTATGGTCCCAGCGCCACATGTTGAAAACATAATTGGCTGTTTTCTTTCAATTTATTTATATCAGTCTCCAGTCTGAAACTAAGTCATTTCAACTCCAGAGCAATCGACAGAGATGATATGGAGTACTCTTACCCCAGAATTTTTTTTCTCCTTTCACTGGTTATAAATACCTCCATGCTATTGTACTTGGCGTGCTGTATGCAAATGGACGCAGGAGTCCTAAAGCTCATTAGGAAGGGGACAGAGGCCTGGAGCATAGAGAGGACAGCACCGAGCTAAAGCTGATAACAGTGGCCTTGTCCAGAATAGTGCATGGGAGCTTTCTTATCTCGCTTTGGCAGGAGGTGCTGTGGACTTCCTGTGCGAAATCAGGAGCGAATGCTGCTTTCCTCTTGTTGTTCGGCTTCCTCCCCCCTCAAGACGGTTCCCAGCACAGTCATTATCTTTGCATCTTCAAACATGGCACAATCTACTTCCTTAAGAGCTTGATGTATTCTTAAGGCTTAGGCACATTCCCCTCCCCCCATATCTTTTTTCAAGTGCTGTTATAGTAAAGCTCCTAAATGACATTCTATTTTTATGGTTCCAATTACAAAGAGGGAAAAATAACAGCCCCCAAATTAGAAAATAGCCACAGAATCTGTCCTGTTCATTTCGAGGACCTGGCAGTACGTCTGGCCTATAGTTTCCATGCCGGGGCTTACGCAGTTAGTAACCGCCCTTAGAGTCATGGGTGGGGAATGGGGCACTGGGGTTGATGGGGGTGTTGAGGTCAACAGCCCCAAGTGAACTCAGCAGACCATATTTCCCTCGGGAAACACCTCGACTTGCATTGCTCTAATGTATTTCTTTGCATTTCCTGAAGGCCAACTATATGAAATTAAGATTTTTTTTTTTTGGCCAGGGCTGGGTTTGAACCCACCACCTCTGGCATATGGGGCCAGCCACCTTTGAGCCACGGGCACCGCCCTGAAATCAAGATCTTTGACTAAGTCTTCTCTTATCTTTTCACTTTGAGGACTTCAGCTGTGTGATGTCCCAGTCCCAAGTAGCCAAACACACGTCTAATCTAGGCACACTCATGTATACACATATGTATTACCTATATTCATACATGTACTGAGTGTGTGAAAGAAAGCCAAATAGAAGTTTAAGATATGTACGTTATTATCCAGAAAATGGAGAATACTGATAATGAACAATGATGACTTTTATATAATGATTTTAAAACTTCATCATTAAAATATTTCCTATAAAGAAGAAAGTGTATCATTTCTTCTTTGGTTCAGTTATTTCTACGGATCAGTAAGGGTTAAAATGTTCACATCTTAAAGGTCACCTCTTGTTGATTCTTTTATTAAAAAAAAAATCTTATAACCTAACTGTAAAAACAGATATTTTAAAAAACATTTGGGGAAATCTGACATATGGTCTGGGTAGAAATACCACCATGGAATTATTAGTAATTCTGTTAGATGTAAAAGTAGCACTGTGGTTATATTAGAAAATGTGCGTATTTTTAAGAAATATTTAAGTATGTCTGCGAATTCTTTTGAAATACTTCACAAAAGAAAAAAGTAAGAAAAAAATAAGGGATAAATGAAGTAGATGTGGCAAAATCTTGATAATTGTGAAATCTGTGTAATGGGCACATGGGAAGTTATCACACTGTGCTCTCTACTTGTCAGTATGTTTGAAAATAATAATCAGTTGTAACAGGCCAGGAGTCGTAGCTCACGCCTATAATCCTAGCACTCTGGGAGGCCGAGGCAGGTGGATTGCTTGAGCTCAGGAGTTCAAGACCATCCTGAGCAAAAGCCAGACTCTGCCTCTACTAAAAATAGAAAAAAAAACCTAGCTGGGTGTTGTGGCAGGTGCCTGTAATTTCAGCTACTTGGGAGGCTGAGACAAGAGGATCACTTGAGCCTAAGAGTTTGAGTTTGCTGTGAGCTGTGCTGATCCCACGGCAGGGCACTGTACTTAGGGCAGCAGAGTGAGACTCTGTCTAAAAATTAAAAAAAAAAAAAACTACTAAAACATTTAAATGAAAATTCTAAGTAGAAACAACGTATCAGATACCTGGTGCCTGTCTGTATATGGGCAGATGTTTGTGGACTGCCAATTACATGCTAGTCCCTTGCTTAGGCAATGTCCTCCTGTAGCTGTTGGCCCAGTGGCATTAAGTCAACACTCAAAGGGTGGTGGGTGCCCTGTGGTCGGACATTACAGGACATGGCAAAGAGCCTAAGCCAGCAGACTTGAAAGTTTAACATTCTGGATTTCTTTTCTTGGCTCAAGGACCAGAAAAAAATAACACCAGAACATCTTCTGATCATAATCCCTTCTATTTTACCTTTCTTTTACACTTTTTCCTCTCACTTTCTTCTCCCATAAGTCATTCCTGCTCTTGCTTACTTAACATCAACCACTCATTCTTTCTAGAAATTAAGCTTTAAAATTCCTCTGGCTTTGAAAATCTCTAGAATCTGCCCAAGCCATGTACAAATTAGAGACCAACAAGCTTTCTGCTCACCCAAATTTCTAGTCCAGAAGGTAAGAAGGCAAAATGATGCAGTGTTTCAAATGAAGAGAGAGAGAGTGGTTTATGGACCTGCGAGATAAACAACATCAAAATGCCTGTTTTATAAGTAAACACTCAAGGCCTGAGAAGTTAAAGAGTTTGCCATGACATCCCAAAATGTGAGCAGAAATAGGCTGAATTTAATAACTGCTTCATGCTGTTTGTTTCCATATGCATTTAATTAGCCCTGGGAAAAATTAGCCGTGCAGTTGAGGATTCTGATTAAAAGCTAGCCTTCTGTAAATGCGAAATGATGTCACTTCCTGAAGGTTTCCATTCATTAACATAATTTCATTTATTTTTCTCTGTTTGCCTGCTACTTTTACTAGAAACTAATTAAAATCTAGATATTTAACTTTCTAATTTATGCATTTCGTCCATGAATATGGGGGCGGGGAAACAAAGGCAAAGAAGATTCGCATAAATTTTCTGACTTTGTTATCTGGGGACTTACCCGCCATGGTTTTCATTTCACCTGTCACCCTTGGCCTTGGCTGGACCATGCTGCTAAGCAATAGTGTGTTGACTTTTCTTGTTTCTTATAGGTATGACTTTTGTTCCAACAATGAAGAGCCCTTTATCCTGGGTCCTGGCAGCAACATAGGAAACAGAATCGAGAGCATCACTCAGCGCATGGCAATAATAGAAGGAAAGAATAAGGTATTGTTTGTAAAAACGAGTGCTGGGATATTTCTTCTAAAAATACACTCTCAGCTCCCAATTCCAGGCTTATTGGAGCCAGAATTAATTCACATTTTGAAACAAAAATTCAGAGAGAAGAAAGACAATATCTGAGCTATGTATGTCTTCATACACTGACACTACTTAGGCTGCTGTATTCTCCAACCAAGCTCCAGTTCTGAGCTCAGGAGGACTTGTTCCTAATGGAAGAGGTGGAGCTGTCCTCTTGGTCCACCTCGGGGCTTCTCAATCCTGGCTGCATATTAGAATACTCTACCAAGTATTATGGCATCTAAATCTCTGGGTGGGAGCCCCGGGCTCGTAAAAGCTTCCCAGGTGATTCTAGCAAGTAGAATCACTGACATACGAGGTGTGACAATTAAGTTCATGAACTCATTCTAAGAAAAGTGCTGCATACCTCATTGCTAAATGGCCAAAGGGAATACTTTGAAGGTGACCACAGCAATGTTCAGCAACGAGGTGTGTAGAACGTTTTCTAGAACAAGTTTGTAAACTTAATTGTCTGACCTCATACATAAAGTGAGATCTCAGTAAGAAAAGCTAGAACAAGATTTACGACTAAAATTGAGTGTTTCCATTTCACAAGATAACATGTTTTTCCTTCAGTGTTTCTTTACAAGCGCAAAGCCTAAGTTGGGATATGTAAACACATACCATCTATCAAGATTCCTGACCTAATCAGTGGGCCACTCACTTTCTACACCCCAACCCCCACTGAGCCTTGACAGTAGCTAACAAGCCTGTGAATCCCATACGTCCCAGTGTGTCTTAGACCTAGTGACATTTTCCTGTAGAATTAGTAAAACATACACTTGAAAATGTGCTGTTGTCCAGCACAGGGAGAGTGATTCTTTAAAAAAGAAAAAAAATACCAAAGTACCCTTTGCTGAAATTTCTATTTACGCATGCATATCTTGATTTGGAGTAGAGATCGGTAATACAGTGCCCATGTCTGCTTGGAGTGTGTTATGCTTATATTATCTATTTATTCAGCTGCAGTCTTTGCATTTTGAAGATGACAAGGTAGATGTCATCATCCTTCATGTAGGGTTTAACAATAACGCCAAATACCATCTGTATTTTTCATTATGTAAAATGTTTTTTGACATATGCTAATGTCAGCCTCATTCTTTGTCAGGCCAGAATGGTTATCTCCATTTTAAAGATAAGAAAACTGGGGTGGTAAGGATGATTAAATCAAAAGCCACATAGCTCAAAAATGTAAATGAGAAACTCAAACCAAAGTCTTCCTTCCTCGTCAAACCTAGTCAACCAAGCCAACTAAGCCAATACAGAAATTAGCTAAGATGGCTTCTATGGTAAAAATCAACAATCAGTTGTCTAACACAAATGAGCAGTAGTTTTAAACATCCCATCCTGTATCGCTATTGATGAGACGGCAGAAAAGTGGAAAGTCTATGTATTTGAAAGTTTAGAATGGGTGGCACTACATATTTCTTTCTTTTTTTTTTCTTTTCTTTTCTTTTTTTTTGCAGTTTTTGGCTGGGGCAGAGTTTGAACCTGCCAACTCCGGTATATGGGGCTGGTGCCCTACTCCTTGAGCCACAGGCACCATCCCGCACTAAATATTTCTAAAAAGGAAATCTCCTCAGTTTATTATTAGTAGACAACTAGTTAGTTGTCAGAAAGTGCTAGAAAAGTTTCAAGATGCCATTGGTGTGTCAATTCTTTGTGCCTTTTCCTGACTCTGTCTGGTGGAGGTACTGTTCACTGCTGGATCCTCAAACAAGAATTTATGAGAATAATTTCAACAGTAACTTCTAGTTCTATTTTGGCATTCTGTCTCCAAGAACATACAGTAGGAAATAAAATGGAAAATGAGAAAGGGAGGTGAGGTTTGTGATTAGCCTGAACCGTGAAGTAGCAGCCTGACTCTATGTGTAGTATCTGTCAGAAACACACGGACTAGAATAACAAACCTGGGCTGAGATAAAGGGACTGCCCTGATTTTCTCCATGCAAGCTTGAAACATATTTGTTGTCTTGTAATTTTAGAGTTATGAAGAAGACTTTGAACATAGACCTCTGTACACAGCTGGCATTTGTGCTACCCAACTTGCCAGCAGGATCCCCAGGGTCAAGGTCTAGAACTTTCTAACTGGTAGTATAACCACATGCAAATTAGTTTACCTCTCTCAACTGGAGTTCTCTCCTTTTTTTTTTTTTTTTTAGACAAAGCCTCAAGCTGTCCCCCTGGGTAGAGTGCCATGGCCTCACAGCTCACAGCAACCTCCAACTCCTGGGCTCAAGTGAGTCTCCTGCCTCAGCCTCCCAAGTAGCTGGGACTACAGGCACCTGCCACAACGCCTGGCCATTTTTTGGTTGCAGCCATCATTGTTGTTTGGCGGGTCCAGGCTGGGGATTCGAACCCGCCACCTTAGGTGTATGTGGCCTGCGCCTTAGCCGCTTGAGCCACAGGCGCCGAGTCTGGAGTTCTCTCCTTAAAAAATAAAACAAACAAACAAAAAAACAAAACAGAGCTAATGATATTTGCCCTACCTAGTTCCTTGTTACAAAGATGAAATGAAAAAAAAAAAAAAGGAAAACATAATAAAGCCTATACAAATACCACTTTAATAAATTCCCTAAACCGACTGTGGTCCTATGCAATGAAGACTTCATTAAATAATTGTTTGCACTGAAAGAACTCTTAATATTCTTGCTAAACAAAGTTATATTGGGTGCACGGCCTAGTAACAGCTATAATTATAGTTAGACTTAAAGTAAATTATTGATTTCATGTCCTGAATTTAGAAGAATGTACTAATTTCACTTTTAGCATCCACTAATCTATCTTTTTGTGTATGTGGAAAAATGTTACTTTCATATGATGGTGATAAATGGATGTTTTGCTATTCTAGAATTATAGGCAGCACTCTGGGAGGCTGAGGAGGGTGGATTGCTTGAGCTCAGGAGTTTGAGATCATCCTGAGCAAGAGTGAAACCCCATCTCTACTAAAAATAGAAAAACTAGCCAGGCGTTGTGTGGGCGCCTATAGCCCCAGCTACTCCAGAGGCTAAGGCAGGAGGATTGCTTGAGCCTAGAAGTTTCAGGTTGTTGTGAACTATGACACCAGGGCAACAGAGTGAGATTCTGTCCCCCCAAACAAACAAACAACAACAACAAAAACTGTTCTTATGTTCACTATACTTTTAGAAAGTAAGTGAAAGTCCAGATTTAGACTGGGGTGATCCCTTCCTCCCACTGTCACATCCTTAGCTTGCCCAGTAATGCGACTCTCCAGATCAGCCGGGCAGCACTCACATGCTGGAGCACCTGCTGGATTTTTTTAAATTTCGTTTTGTTTTTTTTGTTTGACTCAAGGAAGGGTATAGAGGACAATAAAATTCAGTTTCCTTATTGGTAAGTTTTGGCCCAGATTTGTGAAAAGTGAGTCATCAACTGGAGTTGCTAATAACACACGTAGGGTTTTCATACCATTCAAATGGGGTTGCCAGACTGTTGGGTTTGTAGACGTGAAGTAGGAAGTAGAAGGGCCCTGTGTTAGAGAAAACATACAGGAAATACATGTCGCAGCGTTAGCCCTGTGTGGCTGGAGGATGGTGACAATTCTAATGTTTTAGCAATGTTTCCATTGACATCATTCTGACTGCACATTGAGAAGTGTGTGTGCTGCGTGAGACACATCCATGATGAAAGCAATAATTAATACTAATCACAGACTTACAGCTTGTGGTTCAGTCCCCCCCCCCCACCTTTTTCTAATTCTCACATTCTGTTTTCCCACTAACTGGCTCACATGTGTCACCCTATGTTAATTTTAGATTCTTCCACGACCTTTACACATGTACTTTTATTTCTCCCTGAAACACTTAAAAGGAAGTTATATTAGAAACATTCCAAGATTAAAATCATTGTTCCATATATAGATTATTGAAAAACCAGTGCTGGAAATTAAGTTGAATGACTTGTCATCATCCCGTTCATTCTATTCCCAAACGACATGATAGTAATGAGTTACTAATGCTTAGCAAAAAGGAAGGAAGGAAGGAGCAGGAAGAAACTCCCCACTTACAGTATTTATGTATTTATTAATTATTTATTATTATTATTATTTTGCAGTTTTTGGCCAGGGCTGGGTTTGAACCCACCACCTCCAGCATATGGGGCCGGCGCCCCACTCCTTTGAGCCCCAGGCACCACCCTTATTTATTTATTTATTTATTTTGAGGCAGAGTCTCAAGATGTCCCCCTGGGTAGAGTGCTGTGGCGTCACAGCTCACAGCAACCTCCACCTCTTGGGCTTAAGCAATTCTATTGCCTCAGCCTCCCAAGTGGCTGGGACTATAGGCCACAATGCCTGGCTATTTTTTGGTTGTAGTTGTCATTGTTGTTTGGCGGGCCAGGCTGGATTTGAACCTGCCGGCTCTGGTGTATGTGGCTGGCGCTCTAGCCCCTTGAGCTACAGGCCCCGAGCCCAAACTTACACTATTTAACGATAGTTTTGTGAGCAAACTTGGGTCATACAAAGGTGCTCAGAGATTGGACTTGAAGGATCTGTTTCTAATATCTAAATCTGCGAGGTCTGAGTAAGCCAAGAGGAAGCATCCCCAAAGTGGAAGCACCCCAAAAGTAAAAGTAGTAAAGGGGAGTAAAAAACTAATCAGACTTTTAAGAAAGTGTGTAGAATTACTCGGGATTAGAAACTTCACTGAAAGACTGCTTATCCCAAACTATTAAACTAACAACAGAATTACAACAGAATTTTTTGGGAGACAGACTGTCCCTTTGTCATCCTTGTCAACCTCAAACAAGTGGGCTCAAAGCCATTCTCTTGCCTCAGCCTCCCTACTAGCTGGGACAACAGGTGCCTGCCATGACATCTGGCTATTTTTTAGAGACAGGGTCTTGCTATTGCTCAGGCTGGTCTCGAACTCAGACTCTTGCTCAGGCAATCTGCCCCCCTCCACTGATGTGCTTGTCTTATATAACTGGGCCCTGTGAATTTTAAGTAGATGCGAATGAATTGTTACCTCTTCCAATTGAAAGGAACTTTGATATTCTAATTTTATTTTAGCACATCTGCTTTTTTTCTCATCCTCAGTTCTCCTTAATTTGTTTTCAATTGTGAAAAAATGAAAAGTAATTATAGAACTAATACAAGCACTTATCCTTGAGAATTTCTTTTGGTATACCTTATTAAATAAATAATTATAATTTCAAGCATACATTACAACTGTAATTCTTGGCACTTTCTCTTTTTATAAATTCAGTTGTTATGTGGTACTCCAATTGTTACTGCTATTTTTATTTTTTCCCCTTGAAACCATAGTATTTGGTTATGAGAACTGGGGAACAGATCTGTCCCTTTAACTCCGAAGACTAACACATTGAAACTTACTGCCCTATAAGAAGTTATTTTCTAGTCCAGCCAAATACACTCACAACTAACGCTTGAGCTTTCTCTGACCCTATAATGATTAAACTTTAGTCATCAAATATCCTTTTGGTTTTGTGAAAATAAATTGTAATTTCTAATTTAAAAATGTATCCTCTGAAGAAGAAAAGTACTCTAGAAATGAGATTATTTTTAATACAGTTGATCACAGGATATAAGCTGTACTTTTAAAAAACATTTTCTTCTTTAATTGTAACCTTTTCACTCATTGGCATTTTGAACCACATAACATTTATCAGCTGAAAGACAACCTGCAGCTTCTATAAAACACTATCAAAAAAGGAAACCAGCATTTCTGTACACAGTGGCATTTAGCTTGTGTGACCCATCTCTGCTGATGAACTGAGGTATCCTCAAGGAGAAAAACAATTCAAAGAGTAGGCAAAACTGTACCAAGAGGCCTGTACTATTCAATTTAAAGAGTTTTATGATGACAAGCAGTTTGGCTCCAAGTGTTATTAAGAGCAGTCACACTCACCCAGCCTACGTTCTGCCTCGGCTGATCTGTGGTGCTGTGTGTCTTGGGGTGAATCACTTAACCTCTATAAACCTTAGTTTCGTTCTCTGCAGGATAGTGTAATACACACTTCTCACAGGGTTATATGGAGGATTAAATGAGATCATGCTTGTGTATAGAAAAGGCCACATAAAGGTACCCAGAAACAAAGACATACTATAAATTCCCATCAGCGTCATTTTCCACTTGTATTTTAATAGTTTTGAAGAGGTGAGTTCTGGGGCAGGCTTGACTATGGGTAAAGTAATGAAGAACTGACTCTGTAAAGGTCTCTGTGGGTAATGTGTGTGTTTCATGCAGGCACCAGAAGAAAGAGGCCAAGTCATTTCTATCACCATCATTTATCATGTAGCCTGGATTCACTTCACTTCTGAGTACCTAAATTTTATTGTCTAATTGTACACAAATTTTGACTTATCTTACTATGTGTGAGAGACCTAAACAATGGCGACAGCCATTCCCAAATTACCTGCCCAGGTCCTAACTATGGCAAATATGTACATCTGAATTGACTTTCCCTTGCCACGAAACTCAGTTCCTGTTTTCAGTTGCTCTGAATTCAGTGAAATCATTTTCACAAAATGATTTCTTAAGTGATTCAGTTGCTTTGAATTCACTAAGTCATTTTCATAAAAACCCAAACATGACTTAGAGATGCAGGTAATTGCTGCCTATAATTTCAAATATTCTCAAGCCAACAATAGGTTTGCATTTACTAAATCTGAGAATCTATTTGTGTTTTTACTAAGGCCCTTTAGGATAAATACTGGAGAAGTAGCTTCTTAAGATAAACAGTGCTAGGCCAGATGAGGTGGTTCATACTTATAATCCTAGCACTCTGGGAGGCTGAGGCAGGTACATCACTTGAGCTTTAGGAGTTCAAGACCACCATGAGCAAGAGCCAGACCCTGTCTCTACTTAAAACAGAAAAACTAGCCGGGCATACTGGTGCACCCCTGTAGTCCCAGCTACTTGGGAGGCTGAGGTAGGAACATTGCTTGAGTCCAAGAGTTTGAGGTTGCTGTCAGCTATGATGCCATTGCACTCTACCCAGCGTGCCAGGGTGAGATTCTATTTCATGAAAGAGGAAAGAAATAAAAAGATAAAGGCAGGGAGGGACAGAGAGAGAGAGAAAGAAAAAAGGAAGAGAGAAAGAAAATAAGGAAGGGAAGAAGGAAGAAAAGAAGGAAGGAAGGAAGGAAGGGAAAAAACAAAACCAGTGCGTGAGCAAGCATGGGAAGGCTTCATGTGAGCTCCTTATTTCTGACCTGTTGCAAACTGCTTTGAAGCACCTGAGCCCAAGCTTCCTAAGACAACGTCAGGGAGTCAGTCTCATTTGAAATCTTCTGCCCTTCCAGCTGCCACCAGCTAACAGTTCTTTATGTTGCCACCTAATAGCTTCTCTTCTATTTCCATTTTCTTTCATGACTCTTACATGGTGGGTACAATAATTAAAAGGAAATGTCTATCCAGAATTTTATTTCTTTCCTCATATAAAGGTTAATAATCAAAATAAGGAAAGAGGTACCTGAGCTCTCTTTTCATCGTCTTCCTCGTGGGTTATTTGCCTTCATATGAGTGTTTCCTAGCAAAGGGAGAATAATTTATATTTGATTTGCAAGTAGGGGAATTCTCGATCACTGTAAAGGTTATTAAGTGCAGAGCTTGTGTCATAGTCATCTCTTTCTCCCTCACAACATCTGGGTAATGCCTTGATAATCACTCAGTAAATGTCTGCTAAATCAAATGAAAAATGCCACATACTGCAGATACTTTCACTATCACTAATTCCAATAGTACATAGAGAATATGTGAGTGGATGTCATTAAGCATAGTCTTCCAACAAACAAGAGAAAGCATTGTGTAATACTCACAATGCACTGTGAAAATTGCTGAGGATTTAGGCCAGTGAATGTATTGACTAAAATTATATGAGATAAGAGAACACAAGTAAAGTGCCTAAGACATTACTCAGAAACTCAGAAAATGTTAAGATTCTTCTTAATGGCCACACCATTTGTAGTGTATGTCCACCATCGTGGAAATTCCACTGACACATTTTAGCCTATACACTATTTCAGCCTGTAAGCCACCTCATCATTATACTTCAGCGAGGACACCCCATTAGTCTGGAAGCATAACAGTAGCCTCTACAATTTCAAAGCCCATAGCCACTTATTCACATCCTAGGTAATATTCTGTAAAGATTTATAAGCAACTGGATCAACTTTATTTTTTGTAATTTTAGGTATGAAAAACTAGCCTTTTCATTTTTTTTCATACAGAGTATGCATTACATTTTATGAAAGGTTATGTTTAAGAATGCTCCATACTTAGCCCTCGGGGAGGCTGAGGCAGGAGGATCGCTTGAACCCAGGAGTTTGAAATTGCAGTGAGCTGTGATGATGCACTCTAGGCAAGGTGACAGAGACAGTCTCCGTCTCAAAAAACAAAAGAAAAAAGAGCACTCAACAATTTGTTTCATATTGCTAATTTTTTTCTTTAAAAGAAGACAATGGGCCAGGTGCTGATGCCTGTAATCCTAGCATTCTTGAAGGCTGAGTGGTAGGTTGCTTGAGCTCAGGAGTTCAGACCACCCTGAACAAGACCTCCTGTCTACTAAAAATAAAAAAACTAGTCAGATTTGGTGGTGGTGCTTATAATCCCAGCTACTCAAGAGACTGAGGACTGCTTGAACCTAGGAGTTTGAGGTTGCTTTGAGGTGACGCCTCAGCACTCTACCCAGGGCGACAGAGTGAAACTCTGTCTCAAGGAAAAAAAAAGATGATGATGATGCAAATCTTTCAGCTGCCTACATTTTTATTTCATTACTTTGTTTCACTACTTTTTAGACATCGCAGTTTGAAAGTGCTTTCAAGTTCATGCAAACTGGACTACTAGTTTCTTTGGCACTAAGTTGTCAAATAGTGGCACTAAAATCTAGTGAAACACTGTTGTGTTAATTCATAACTTACATCCTCATCTTCTGATTAGGAATTCATAGATTGAGAAATTAAGTAATCTACAAACACATACATGGTCTCCTTCTGGACCATTCAAGGCTGCATGCCACATTATTGGAACACATTAAAAAAAATGGTTCACCCAAACTTTCCCTTCTGTCCTTGCTCACTTAACATGCCTGTTATGGAACCAAACAGCAGAGAAGACCTCCTGTTACCAAATGGCATCCATGCTCTCAGGTCACCCAAACAAAAGGGAAGGGCTCAGCCTCACCTGTTCCTCTCATTGACGTGGAACTGACCACCTCGTAGGGTAGGACGTGCAGTTCCACAACTCAGCTTCAGGTCTGTAATTGTTACACCAGCAGCACGAGATAAATAAGACTGAAACCCTCATATGAGTCGGATGTCATAGGCTCCGGTCTCCTGAGGACCTGCTTTCCTGTTATTTTTCCATTCTTGCTGGGACTCAGCGAGCGGAGAGCTTTCTGGTAACCACCACCCATGATACTGCCCATGCTGAATGAATGGAATACCTGAATCCTTTCAACCCTCCGAAGTAGCTTAAGGATGTTCAAATCGGTCTTTGACTTACTGCTTAGCTAAAGCTTCCTTTTCTTTTGCAGACGGCTAGCACCTTGGTTGTGGCTGACTCCAGAATTTCTGGAATCTACAGTTGCATGGCTTCCAATAAAGTAGGGACTGTGGGAAGAAACATAACCTTTTATATCACAGGTAAGCCACCATCCTATACCCAAGGTGACCTCAGTCTCCCTTCAATCTTACAGCTTGAGTGATTTAAAAAAAACATTCCATAGAGTTGTCAAGCTTTGAGTACTCTCATCCTCTGGTCTCAGGAATAGAATTCTACATCATTGCATTTCCTAAAGTGTTATTTCCCTGAATTCTCTTTTAGGTTCTTTGTGTATGCCTTTCTCCCAGACTGGATTGTGAATTTGGGAACTCGTATGCTCATTTTCTAACTCCCTTCAGTCCTAGCATAGGGTCTGGCATCCACCAGTTGTTCAATAATAATCAGAGAAACCGATTATAATACATAGGATGACATGGTATTTTTTTTAACTGAGAAGCCAATTTTCTCACAACTTAGGTAATATAGACTTTTTGGGGAATGAGGCTCCCCTATAGAAATCTCAAAGTGAGCTCTGTTAACAGAAATAAGGATATAATGCTATCCTTTTTTGGATAGCATTTAAGAAATTTCAGCCGTACATATGACGGTCTCTGTGAATCTTAAAACCTCTAAGGTACACAAATGGCACTCCGTGGATACAGGAAGGAAGTAAGTAGCTCAAAGTATAAAAACAATTGCCTGGCTCCACACTACCCAATTTATGAGGAAACCGCGGCAGTCTGCCAACTCTGGAAACCACACTGCATGGGGCAGGCTGCAGGAATTGCCAAGAGGTCTCCAGAAAGAAATGGGCAGGCCCAATTCTAGAAGACATATGGGTTGTCAGATCGCAGGAGCCTCAGGCAAGTTAGCTAAGCCCTAGAAAAGCTGTGCCATGGGGGATACCCTGGAGTAGATTCTCACATAATTCTCACATGTCAGAGTGAGAAGAAACTCTAGGCTATTCAGTATTATAATGCCCACATTTTCCAGATGAGGAAACGGGATTTGGAGAGGTTAGATGTAACAGCAGAGCCTCTCTCAACGAAGTCAGTCCCTGTCTCCCTCCCTGTTTGAGAAGTAGGAGAGAAATCATCTTTGTGTCCATTCCAAGCAGGAAAAGGACATTTATTTAGAAGAGTCAGGGATTTCACACAGATTGGTTCTCTAATAAATCTCAGATGATTTGGACTAATTAAATAAAAACTTTGCATTGTTCCTTATATTTGGTTGGAAGCAAGTTACCATCTGAGTCTACAGTCACTGTATGCCTGATTTAGGACACAAAAGACTGAGCAATCCCTGTTCTGTTCTGAACATTCCAGTCTGTACCAGTGTAAGGAGGACTACTAAACAGTACCGTCCACCTCTGTACTGACCACTGGAAGGGACTTCAGGGAAGCCTTGTCTTTCTAGGAAGACAGTTCCAACACCCAGAATACAAAGAAGAAATTACATATATCCTAGTATGAAAATAAGCGCAGAAGCAATGTAATGAAGAACCGACTCCTTAAAGCCGTCCGTGTTCCACAGAGATGTAATATAAGCCACATGTGTAATTTAACCACATTTTTAAAAAGTACAATTCATTGTCTTTAACCCAATATATCCAACATATATAATTTCAACATGTAATCAATATTTTAAAGAAATAGAACACCATTGCTTCAGTTTTAAAATTTAAATAAAATAAACGAATATACTTCAGTTCCTCAGTCACACTAGCCCCGTTTCAAGTGCTCAGAAGCCACACATGGCTCGTGGGTACCATATGGGACAGCGCAGCTCTAAGGAAGGAAGCAGGATTTGAGGGAGGAGGACTGGTGGGGAGACGGGTGTAATCTGGATAAGTGAAGAAGGCTTGCCCCAAGGCAAGAGTGCCAGTGGAGGCCCACAAACCATAAATCCAACTACTGACAAGTTCTAAAGCAAGTAAACAAGCTGTTTATATACATTTCCGCCTCCTATGGACAAATATACTTTCATGATGACTTGAAAGGCTAGGATAAATTTAGAACTCTGGGAAAACTCCGAGTCCCCGAGCAGACCGCAGTAACACCTGGCAGTGGAGAAGCCTGGCTCAGCCATCTCCTCTTGCCACCCTTCACTCTGTCACACCTGCGAAGGGCCGAGCACCCACGTGTGTGGTCTCCCCTCCCCATACATCCAAACTCTGCCCGTGCCCCTCACAAATTCTTTCCCATGGCCACTTTGGGAGGGACCCAGAAGTGTAGACACCAAAGCAGTCTGGTCTCAGGAAGCCAGACGAGCTGACCTGGAAGCAGGCTGCAGATCAACTTTGTAGGGGATTTTGGAATCTTAGGGACCTCCCAGGCAAGACATAGTAGAGTGACACAGGCTCTGGGTATGCGTGTCCACTTGGCCCCACAGACTCTAAACATTGTGGGACGCCATCTAAACAGAACAGAGCCATCTGACAGCCCAGGATGGGGACCCTGCCTGCCTGGGTCTGCGGGCCGTGCTAGAAGAGGATGTGCCAAGAGCAGAAGGGAGTGTCACGCTCACTTCCTTATTGTTCAGAGTGCCCAGGAAAAGTTAATTGATTGCCCGGCATTAATCACAGCACCAACCTCTGGCTGTCCCACTGAAGTTTTCTTTGCTGCATCATATTCTATGCATGGTGTTATTGCTGAAAGGGGCCCGCTGACAAAGTCGATTGCCTGTTGGATTCAGGCAGAAATTCCTGCCACACCTCGTTACATTATACAGTTTATAACTACAGAGGGTTTGAAACCTGTTCTAGATCTCTAGGCTTATCCATAGAAAAGAACAACGACAATTCACTCCAAACATAGCTGCTTGAAGCTACCATAGTGTTCCTTTAAAATTCCAAGAGCTTTAATCTTAAGCTCTTAACACAAGTTCAGCCAACCAAGCCCTCATTGCCTCGAATATACTTTTTCTGAATTCTTTTCTACTTCTGAAAAGTTCTACATTTAATTAGTGAGACTAGATTAACTTGCTTACATTTATTATTTACTTTTAACTAATTATTTTGTTTTTCTTCCTGGAATCTTTGTTAATTAAATTTATTCTCACGAGAGATGAGACTAAATACTTTTAGGAATGATGTGCCTTACATGTCTGTTCTCTGAAAATATGAATGTCTGTATGTCCAGTGTTTCTACTTGACTCAATGGGGGCAATGCTTTAAAAGGTACCTGCCTAAAATCTGAAAGCTCTAAAGATCTATATTTGAGTCTTTACTGAATCTCATTTCAGTCATGTTGTCCCTTCCTTAAACATAAGGTAATTGCCTTCCAAATTGATAAAAACTGGTTAACTCGAAACTTTGGCACTCATTTATATGTACACAAGCATCTCTTTGAAACAAGTAGATCTTCCTAGTAACTACTTACTTTCTTTTTAGAGAATGTTATTTCTATTCTTTAGTGGGAGTAAAGCCTTCTTCCTTTCCACCTGACAAATGATCCCCTTCATCCCTATGAATTTCTATGCTTGTTTCTTTCATGAACTGAATCCACATATCTGATTTAATCAAGTCAAAATGTTTACTCCCATACACCTTTATAAATAGATTAATTACTCTTTCACCTAACCCTAAATTGAAGTTCTCTTCCAAGCAAGGGTTGATTCTTCTCCTGGGCACCTCATAAGATGCCATGGCTGTGATGTGTGTTAGATGTGTAGCTATTATTTGGTGGCGATGATGACTGTGAATCTGCAGCAGATACTTAAGTGTGGGAAGATGTCTTGTTTTCATTTTGAATGTTAGAAGGCAACTCTTTCTTAGGTCTGTTTTCGTACCCAGACTTAAAAAAAAAATCTACATGAATTAAGGCGAAAATCCCTCTGGGTTCATTAAACAGTTGAGGACATTTTATTTGTCATCTTCCATGGATCACAAGAGACTATCAAAGAGATTATACTGAGAAATAATCATTTCCAAGAGGCTAGCTGATAACCTAAACCAAATTAGCCTCAATAACTACCTCCCAGTAACCACATAAATAACCATACATGCAACCATGTAAGAAAAGAGCCTCAAAATGAATTTGGTACTTTTCTTTCCCCCTCTATGTGTTTTTGCTGTTTTGCTGGCACTCAGCATGACTATGGGTGTGTTAGCAATTACTGAGGGTGAAACAGGAACAGCACTGCCTTATCTCCCTGGTTTCCCAATGTCACTAAATGCATTTTATTTTGAGATTCCTGGTGGTGCTTGGCAAAGATAAACAAAATCTTCCATCAGGAAACCTGTGAGCTATTTCCACAGGAAGTTTCAAATCACTAAAGTAAATAGAAACTCTCTACATGATCTCAGTGGTGTTACTTGGGCTCACTTGGGTTCTAACTACCAGGATGAGACCTCGTAAATGGAAAGTCTGTGGTCTTTTAAGAACTGACTTGATTGCAACCAGTGCATAATACCTCTGCTCTAGTATCTGTGCGAAAGTTGATGGCCATTTTACTCCTCATTCTTGGAAAATGTCCCAAACATAAAAGATGCTGAATTAGAGTGGCTATTTCTGACACCTTATTGTTATGTTAAAAATGACTGTCAGCTGCTCCTTCATCTTCTGGCACATTCTTAGATTTTCATTTTAAAAGGAGGAAAACCTCCACTGGTATCCTCTCTCTTCAACCAGTGACAGCTTCATAAGCTACTGTTGCACCCCGTTCCCAGGTTTCAAATGAATACTTTGGCATTTCTTCAGACGTGACACTTTATAATAAAGCCAAAGCCCAGAAAAATCAGAAAAACAAGCAAAGTGAGATTTAGGAAAGAGTTGATATGATATCTAATTTTGGACTATTGTCCCCTTAAGGTTTAAAGGTTTCTTTATAGCTTTGTGTGCAAAAGATAATAATAATAATAGCATAACATAATGCTTTTCATCTTCAAAGCACTTTGTAAAATGTTGGCCCAAATTCTTTGCTCAAATACAGATACTCTGCTCCTATTAGGCAGTCGGAGGAGTGTGAGAGGAGGTCAGCTCAGGGCCAGTAACCAATGATTTTTTTTTTTTTAATTCTCTGGTGAAACAGTCCAAAATGACACTAGGGAACTCTCAGCCCAAAAGGTAAATGGTGATTCTGAGTAGGAATCCTGAGGGAGAGGCCTCCTGGGGTATTGCTAGTGGGACTTGAGAGAGACGGAGATGAAGGTTAGCTGGGAATTGACATTAGAAAAAATGACTTGTGATGACACAGTCACCTGCAGAACATGTTCACGATGTTTTAGAGAATAAATTTGAGTTTTTTAATTATTCTCTCCCCATCCCCCATCACACCCACTTTGTAATCTGGCTAATCTTCCAGATTAATCACCTGCATTTTCAGAAGGAAATCCTTGCTTCTTTATGACTGAGCAGAACCATCACCATTAAAGGGGTCCTAAGCAACTTAGTGGCTTCTTCTCAAGCCCACTGTGCCAACAAAGACCAGGACAAGTAATCCAGGGGATCGGAGGGTAGTGAGTAACCACTGCTTTTCAACAGGAAAGTTTAGGACTACAGTGGTGTTGATTGGCACGGACCTAGGAGTTCCTCGTTTTACTTGTTCGCAAGCTGTTTTGGATAAGTTTGACCATAAATATATCTTTGGTTTTCAGTACAAATTGTTCTCATGTTATTTCATTATTTTGGCCACATCCAATATTCATTTACCAGTAGGAGTACTATATGTGGTAAAGGAATGAGAAGCAAAGTCAGCATCCCAAGTTGGAAAAAACATTCTACTTTAAGGAGCATTTTGGGGAAAATGAAGAGAAAGTACCGTCCTAAGAATGGGACAATGGTTTGCATCTCCCCCATGCAAATAATTTGCATTTCTTACCTCTAGATAGAATGAACTACTACCTTTCATGTTGGATCAGTTACCCCCCAATTAAAAAACACAGTCAATACTCATCCTTTTAAATGTTGATGCTCAAAGAATGTGTGTAGGAATAATTCTTAAGATCTTTGAATATCTCATGAGATGTCGATTTTTTTCTGTGCACTGAAGTTCTTTATTCTTATTTTATAGACGTGCCAAATGGGTTTCACGTTAACTTGGAAAAAATGCCCACAGAAGGAGAGGACCTGAAACTGTCCTGCACAGTTAACAAGCTCTTATACAGAGACATTACTTGGATTTTACTGCGAACAGTTAACAACAGAACAATGCACCACAGCATCAGCAAGCAAAAAATGGCCATCACTAAGGAGTTCTCCATCACTCTCAATCTTGTCATCAAGAATGTTTCCCTGGAAGATTCAGGCACCTATGCCTGCAGAGCCAGGAATGTATACACAGGGGAAGAAATCCTTCAGAAGAAAGAAGTGACAATTAGAGGTGAGCACTGCAACAAAAAGGCTGTTTTCTCTCGGATCTCCAAATTTAAAAGCACAAGGAATGATTGTACCACACAAAGTAATGTAAAACATTAAAGGACTCATTAAAAAGTAACAGTTGTCTCCTATCACCTTGATTTATTGTCACTGTTGCTAACTTTCAGGCTCAGAGGAGATGCTCCTCCCAAAATGAGTTCGGAGATGATAGCAGTAATAATGAGACCCCCAGCCCCAGCTCTGGGCTCCCATTCGGGCCAGGGGAGCTGCTCTCTGGCCCCCATGCGCATTTGGATTTGGAGGATCCCTGCCCTGCATTCTCTGTGTTTCTGCTCTTGCTGTTTTCTCCTGCCTGACATACAACAACTGGGGACTGATCCTTTCCTTCCACTTTGATGCCAACCTCTTTTTACTGTTAAGTTTTGAAGCTGCACAAACTGAATAATTTAAACAAATGCTGGTTTCTGCCAAAGATGGACATGAATAAGTTAATTTTCCGGCTCAGAATGAGTACAGTTGAATTTGAGACTCTGTCGGACTCCTGCCTGGTTTTTATTTTGTACTATTTCATCTGCTCTTGATTTGTAAATAGCACCTGGATAGCAAGTTATAATGCTTATTTATTTGAAAATGCTTTTTTTTTTTTTTTTTACATTAAGCACATTAATCTTAAACTGGAGATTCTAATCTGGGCCCCAAGAGTGTAAGATGTGGGTGTAATTGGGAAATAGTAAAACTTAATAACAATATGAATTAAGAGAGTCCACCCAAATCAAATCCACTTCCCTCCTCTCCTGCAATCTAGGCAATTATGCAACTAGTACCATGTAGACTAGTCCAGCAAAAGATTTCCTCCTCCTCACTGCCTCTGACTGGACTGTACAGTTACTGACAACACCTGAATGAAAGTGGATCACGCCTTAGTATTAAGTATTCTTGTCCCCTGGTTACTCTTTTAAAGAACTTTACCATGTTAAAATGCTGGCATTCAAAGGTGTCCCACAATCAATCATGGAAATAAAGAATTTTGTAACCAATGGTTTAATGCATTTTTCTAAAAGGAAATTTAGAATTTGTACACTAAAAAAGTCTTCTTTCCCATATGGAGATGTTAACAGGATTTGTACAGGGATTAATAAATGGCAAAACTTACACAAGCAGAATTTGAAGTCATTTTAAAATACATGCCATTTTTAAATCAGGAGAGACTGTCATCTCTTGTTCTAAGTCTGCATTTGAGGGAAAAGTGACTTTTTCACTAATTTAATATGCATTGTTCTGTTGTTTTAATTTATGATTTTGTTTTATGTTTTAATTTATGATTGATCATTATATGTGACTTACATGAATCAGAGGGGGGAAAAAAAACTATAATGACCAAAATAGCCATGGCTGAGAAACACAGGGGCTGGGCAGTTCAATAGGAGGTGACATATGACAACTTTTCAAGCTTGGGAACTCACCAGACTGTTTCCTCCTTTAGGTAACAGACTCTGTCCCACGCTAAACTTGTCTTTCACGTGGGAATTGCTTTTGTCAAGTGTGAAAGAGTAAACAATAGCATTTCCCCAGAATGCCAGTTTTATGGAGCCCCTAATGCTCCGAAAACAATTAGTAACCTGGAAGTTGTCAGCCCAAAGGAAAGAATAATCAATTGTATCTTGAAATTTTACCTATGGCTCTTTGACCTGGCCTCTTTGTTCATTATAAGTTAGTGTGTTCATTCAGGAAACAATGCCTTAGTACCACAGAACTTGGGGGCCTCGGTTTTTGCTCGCTGAAAAAGCAAATACAATGATTTAGGCATCACTTAACCCCCCCAAATGGTGAACTGGACATACTGAGCCTACTATTTCCTTCCCCTAATTGCAATTTTTGTGAAGGGAGGATGTCAGTATTTACAGAAGATAATTTTAAGTACTTCTAAGAGATAACTTTAAGAATTCCATAGAGCAAGTAATGGCTCACTGTGTAATTAATCCTTCTCCAGAGTTCTACTTAAAAAAGAAACTATTGGGTAGGTTTTGTTTGTTGTTATTCCTTGAGGTATGAAGTGAGGTGAGAATCACCGAGAAAAAGTAAAAAGAGCCTAGAAAGCAGAGATGGAACAGGGATGTGAGGCTGGTTCCTCAGTCCCCATTCCAAATGAAAAATAGGAACTATGTATTTATGGGACCTGGCAGATCCCTGGGGCCATAACTCTGAAAAAGAAAAGAACCTGGTGAGGAGCTATCTTTGGCTACTGATAACCAGCAGAAATACTCTGTTAATTCTGATTTTCTCAGTCTGAAGGGATTGGCTACACTTTGTTAACTTTGTTAAATTTTGGAAAGCTGTTGTCTGTTTCCACCAAGCAACTTTAAACATCAAGGAATTAAAATACAGGCTCAATGTACCTTTCTTATTTAAAATGCCAAAATAGAGTATTATGATGTATAAAGAAAGAATTGATAAAATGTGATTCCTGGGTTAATGGCTCATTTAGAAACTAGCTAAAAACGAGACTCTCCTTTTAACACAGGAGAACATTTTCCAAAAATGAGTACAAAGAAAAATTTATAATACTGTATGTTTCACAATGTGTATGTGAACCTTGCGTTTAATTCAGAGCCCTGTGTTTATTCGGCAGCCTTTTTGCCGCTTCTATTGTCTGAAGTTTGTATAGTACAAATAGGGCCCTTGGGAGTGCTTCATGATATTAACGTTAAAATAAAATGTTCTCTTCTATATAAGCATTGTTTCCCAAACACATGTCAGAGAAGTCCAAATCAGTCCAAATCCTGTCTATGTTGATGATGTTATAGTTTATGGCTATGGGAATAATTTAGGTGAGCAGGCCCTAGATTCAGACTTCCTTTTTAAAAGTCCTATAGACAATGATAGATTATTTTATCATATTTAATGCATGGGAAATAGTAAATGTGCTAGGGGAAACTATTAAAAGCATAACTCAGTGAACTGGGTTTTAAATGAGGTATTTCAAAGTTGGCTTGCCATTGTAAAAGATAATAAATAGTAATATGATAACATTCTTTATTATCTTGTCATGTTTCACTGGTATGTTTGAAGTCTTTAACTATGTAAAAATGTCGAAATTGTAATGAGCAAGCATGTACAAGTTATCACACATTTAAATTTTATACCTGATTGCATTTTCAATTGGGAAAAGTTGATGGACAGGTTGCACGGAATGCAAAAACAAATATTGCAATGGTTCTGCTTAGGGGGCCAAGATAAGATAGGAAAGACATGCTTGGAAGAGGCAGAAGGGTCATTACTATCATTTCACACTGTGTCTGAAGTTTTTATAAATCAGAGCACTTCCTTCGATGCTTTTTTGCCTTCAGATTTCATTTTTTATAAAAGGAGAAGACTAACGATAAGTTATGGAAATCAAAATTCATTAAGGAATCTGCTTCTCCTAACAGATAGTAACCCTACTTTGCTATACTACTTCAACATGTTATAAAATTTATATGATAATATACTTTCTAACCTGGGGTTTCTAAATTGCTTTAACAAATGCTAACCCTGAGAGTTTCCCTGCAGGAATCAAAAGAGAAAGGTTTTGGGACTCGGCAGAATCCTGCAGGGACATGGGATCAAAGCCATTGCAATGTGTCATCTTCTGTAGCATTGCAATCACTCCTAAGCTGCCCTCACAGTTTTAGTAGACTAAGATGAGGAAATCAGAAATGGTCAGAGAAAGCTCAGACTGTATAATTGAAACCAGTGACGCGGAATGTGTAAGTGATGCCAAAACTCTTTGATTTCTGTTCCAGGATTTGCAAAAAAGAAGGGAAAGGGAGGGTGGAAAGGACATTAGGAGTTGTTTTCATCCTTTTGTATTGATCTCCCCATCCAGTACCCACCTAACTAGAATGTACATATACACATCAGCAGGACTGACTACTTCATTAACAGAGACACTGTACTCATTGGAGGCCTTGGGGGTACTGCTGTTCCTATGTGGGATTTTAATGTTGTAATGTATTGCATCTTAATGTATGAAATTCATTTTGTTGTACTATATTGGTTGGCATTTTATTAAAGTAAATTGTATTGTACCATACTTGTATGTTTTAAGAGAAAATAATATAAAATACAATATTTGTGCTATTATATAGTACAAAAACTACAAATCTGTGCCTCTGCCTCTTGAATCCATCCTTTGGTTGCTTGCATTTGGGAAGGGAATGGAGGAAAGACATAATCAATAAAGCTTTCCAAGTTCAAGAAATTCTCCTGTTTGGTCTGCTGCCTTACAACTTAGGTTACTGACAGCTGAATGACACAAACATACGCTCACAAACACATCATCAATGAAAATACATACAAGATTATATAAATCACTACAATGCCATATATCAATGTAAAAATTCATTACAAGCATATATACAAAATCATGGTTTTAATTTATAGCCCCTAAACTATTATGCAAAATCCTTGGGTCTTAGAAAAGCTTCTCTCAAAAAAAAAAAAAAAAAAAAAATGAAGAAGGAAACTCATTGGCCAGGCAGAAAACCTTTGTATTGAAATCTAAAAATATAGAATCTAGCCAGGCACAGTAGCTCATGCCTGAATCCCAGCACTCTGGGAGGCCTAGATACGTAGATTGCTTGAGCTTGCAAGTTCAAGACCAGCCTGAGCAAGAACGAGACCCTGTCTCTAAAAAATACCTGGATATTATGGTGGGCGCCTGTAGTACCAACTACTTGGGAGGCTGAGGCAAGTGAATTGCTTGAGCCCAAGAGTTTAAGGTTACAGTAAGCTATGACGCCATGGCACTCTACCCAGGGTGAAACTCTGTCTTAAATTAAAAAAAAAAATTATATAGAATCTAGTCCTTGATTTCACTGTGTTCTGACAAATTTCAATTTTATTATAGCATCTCATTAAAGAGGAAGTAGGAAATAAACTGTGGAAGAGAAAGTTAGGGAACAGAATGAAATCTTACAGTTGGATTTTGCTGTTTCTCTATATATTTATAACGTTGATATGCATGTACAATAAAAGAATAAGATGGGCAAGTAATCACAACTCTCTTTCTTTCTTCTCTAGATCAGGAAGCACCATACCTCCTGAGCAACCTCAGTGATCACACAGTGGCTATCAGCAGCTCCACCACTCTGGACTGTCATGCTAACGGCGTACCAGAGCCTCAGATAACTTGGTTTAAAAACAACCGCAAAATACAACAAGAACCTGGTAAGAGATTTTTTTCCTTGTGTTTACACTTTCTTGTCCTCCATCATGCCCATTTTCCCCTACTACCAGGCATTCCCATCACGTGCTTCCAATAAATGTAGACCCAGTTGCTGAGACAGCTGCAAACATTGGGCTCTTGTTCATGCTTACATCAACTTCAGATGAGGAATATTTGTGCCAGTTCTTAGGCAGACCATATTCCTAACCCTATAGAGAGATCCTTGCAGAATTTTTAATCCCACCTGGAAGGATTCATATAGTGCACTCAGAAAGGAATGAGAAGAGGCTCTTCAAAAATGGTTCAGTTCACAGTGACAGCTGGGAAAGTGAAGACTTAAGTGTCTCGGCTTGAGGTATAGCAGAGCTTTGAGTACCTGGTGGGTATGAAGTTCAGAGAAGTAGATTTATAATCGTTTTAATTCCCCTACACCAATTTTAATGATTTGATAAAAAGAAATATTTTAAATGGTATTTTGTCATACTAGTTAAAAAAAAAAGAATCTAAACTAGTGGATATAGGTTTATTTTCTTTCAATAATAAATACAGTCACCCATTGGTTCCAGGACCTCCTGCAGATTCCAAACTCCATGGATGCTCAAGTTTCTAATATAAAATGGTGTAGTATTTGCATATAACCTATGAATCCTCTGTAGATTTTAAATCATCTCTGGATTACTTAGAATACCTGATAATACAATGTCTGTACATCACTTCATTCACATGAATTCAATGTATTGTTTGGTACATGGCAAATTTTTTGCTTTATGGAATTCTGTAGATTTTTTTTCCCCCAAATAGTATTGATCTGTGGTTAGCTGAGTCCACAAATATAGAACCCACAGATAGGGAGGGCTGACTGTATTCTTAGAAATAATTAGACTTAAACCAAAAAGTATAAGCCCTATCTATTTCCTGGATCATAATTCTGTGGTCACATAAGATTAAATTTGACTTATTTATAATTTTGATTGATAACTATATTTGTACTTAAAATAAAATTGCCATTTATTTACAATATTCCGATAACCTAAACCAAATAAGTAGCAACATGGCATGGTGCTTAAAAGTGAGTCCTCTACTCAAAATGAAATTTGAATTTGATGCACATAATGAGGCTGCAGTATAAAAACTCCAAATTTTACGATAGGTACAAATGCCTTTGAAAGGCTTTACACTCAGCAGGTCCAAAACTAAGCATAGTTCATCGTTTTCCTCTGTATTGACGTCATATACTCAATCATGCAAACTAGCAAGTGAAGATCTCTTCTTCAGCCTCCTCATCTAATCAATACGCAGACTGAGCAGGTTATACCTATGAAACACCAAATATTCCTCAAATCCATCCCTTTCTGTGCTTTCCCATTATTCTCTTGGTTCAGGCACTCACCTATCCTTTGAATGTCTTCCGTAGTCTCCTAACTTGTCTCCCTACCTCTCTTTTCTCTCTTTGCATCTTTGCAGTACAAAATTCAGCTGTGAACACATTGCTCCCCTGCTTCAAGTCCTTCCCTGGTTTCCCATCCCAGTTCAATAAAGTCCAAACATCTAACAGAGGCAGTCTTAATGTCTGGCCCCTGACCACTCCTACAGCTAGCTGTATGCTAGCCTCCTCTGCCTTGAACCATATACTGTAACAATGTCAAGACTGTTGTAGATCCCTGCACACATTATGTTGATTTAATTCTCTATACCTTTTGGTTCTTGTGTGCCCTCTGCCTGAGTACCTTCCTTTTTTTTCCTAATGCCTCCCCATCCCGTAAGACCCAGATTGTGAGTGTCCTCCCCACAGAAGGCCTTCCACAAACTCTCACAATTCGGAGGTAGCTCTTCCATGGGTCTTCTTAAATATTACTACTTCTCTCTTGCTGAGTTTTTAAAAAACAATCATCAGTTCATGTGTGTCTGTACTATCTATGCTCTCTTATATTTCTACTGCTCTCTTACTATATTGCTTTTGAATTGTCAGTTGATACGCATCTCCCCTCCAGAGGGCAGACAGTACATTTCATTTGTTTTATTTGTAGCTACTTTATAGTCTCAGAACCTAGCATAGAGCTTGGCAATCAACAAATGTTCCATGAATGAATGAATGAGTGGTTTTCAGGAAATCTTATTCTAGCCTTGGCAGGTTCATTTAGTAGTACAAATGTTTGAATTGGGGTGGGAGATGGGGCCTTTATAAAATTTTCAAAGCTGAAGGAACATCTTTAGTAACTATGTAGAACAGAAAGCTTAGGCCCAAAGAGGTAAAGTGATTTGTCCAAGATGACACAATACCAAGAAAGGTAGTTTCGTGGAAAACTAATCCCCCTGAGATGTTATACCAGAATCAAAGGATTTATGAATATATGAATAAATAAGTAGTTGTGAAAGAGTGCATGCAATATCCTCCCCTTAGAGATTCAGAGTTCACATTAGCATATAAAAGAGACAAAGAAGAAACATGGTAAACAGTGGTCTTAAGTTCTGTATTCCCCAAACTTACTTGATCACAAAACACGTTTTATGAAAAATTAACATAAGGTGTTGAGTGATTCTTTGAAAGCAGTTAATGTGACACAAGTTTTGTTTCCATAATTTGGAATGTTTAAGGAATCAGAGTTAAAACAGTTTTGAAAGTTCATGGTGATTATGGGACCAGAGGACAAAGGCCAGAGAATGTGCGAAGGCAGCTCCACAAACAAAAAAAAGATTATGACGCGCAGGGGAGATGAGGGTTTAAGTCCCAGCACTGCCCTCATGAATCTTGAATGAATTTGGGCAACTCATTTGTCCTGACACTCTAAGCCCCTATTTCATTAGGGATGTGGTGAAGTTTTGATGAGTTAACATTAACTAAGTCATTGCTTGGTAAATGTTCCTTTCTGACCCACCTCATTTATACAGAAGCTGTCCAATGAGTTATCAGAATTTATTGGAAGGTGTCAGAGTTAAAAAGTCAGCTCAAATATCAGACAACCCTACAACAAAATAATAAAGATATCTCCACTATCCCCCTCCAGCTTCCTTTGATCTTCAGAGGCCCAAAGAAGAGTATCTAAAGCAGGTCATATAAATTCTTACATAAAATCTTTTATAAATGTCATTCATGCTACATCAGATTTGTGAAGCTTGATTATGCTGTCACCAGTTATCTCTTTCTCTCTCTCTTCCCTTTAATCACCCTGCAAAATTCTACTTGGATTTCTTAATTTTCTGGGGACAATCTTCTACCTGTATATAGTTTCTATACATGTAGTTTCTATGAAATTTCATGTGTAATACTCCCATTTGAGGCAGCAAAGGCAATAGTTAATGCAATATGTTCCATGACTATGACCCTTATGTCTATATACAGAGATATCTTCAAAAATGCCTCCTCTTTTATGGTTTTTGGGTTTTTTTTACAAACCTATGACTAAAGGTAACCAAAGTGATCATCCTTGATTCACTGGTCGTTCCACAGCTAAAAGGGAAGAATATTAAGATCATGGCCTAAAAAGAATGAAAACTAGCTCATTATATATTCACCTTTAGCAAGCTAGACTGAGTTTTAAAACCCTAAAAATAAAGGGTATGTCTTTTAGAGATGCATCTTTCATATGAAGCTTGGCAGCTCAAAAAGGTTATATATTAAACATATGTAAATAGAGAGAGAGAGAGAATTTTAGTGGCTTCGGATCATTGATAGGATCCAGTCCATTATCATTGTTATTTGTTAAATGATAACTTCCCATTCCAAAGAAAATATGAGAAAGGAAACAGGGCACACATGAGCTCTCGCACTCTAGACAAGGGGCTGTGAAATGCCTAGTTAGGGTAGTTGGAGCTTTTTTCTCCCTTCTCATTTCCTTTCAGGAAAAAACTTTCAGTGAGGCATAGCCATTCATGAAAAGAAAAGCAATTTCAAGAAAGTGTTATGAAAGCTGAGCAATAAATTCTTGGGACAAAGGGCATGGAGCAGGAACGAAGGACATCATAAGTGTGCAGGCCCAGGAAGCCTGTGTAGGGACGAATGGGAGAGGAGGACTCCGCCAGGGCAGCTGCAACAGAAAAGAAGGGGCTCTCTCTGGCTGCTCTCTACTGCTGGCCTCTGAACTCCCCAGCCTGCCTCTGAACTCCCCAGCCTGCCTCTGAACTCCCCAGCCTGCCTCTGAACTCTCCCCAGCCTGCCAGTGAACTCCCTAGTCTGCCACTGAACTCTTCCCAGCCTGCCAGTGAACTCCCTAGTCTGCCACTGAACTCTCCCAACCTGCCACTGAACTCATGCAAAGCTCTGGGGCATCCAGGGCTTGTTTGTGGCGCCTCTGAACTCTGCCCAGCCTGCCTCTGACCTCCCCAGCCTGCCACTGAACTCCCCAACCTGCCTCTGAACTCTCTCAACCTGCCTCTGAACTCTCCCCAGCCTGCCACTGAACTCCCCAGCCTGCCACTGAACTCTCCCCAGCCTGCCTCTGAACTCTCCCCAGCCTGCCTCTGAACTCTCCCCAGCCTCCCTCTCAACTCCCCAACCTGCCTCTGAACTCTCCCCAGCCTGCCTCTGAACTCTCCCCAGCCTGCCACTGAACTCTCCCCAACCTGCCACTGAACTCCCCAACCTGCCTCTGAACT